GTGCTTTTGCTGGAGATGATTTCTCAGTTGGCCCTATATTGACCTTGAAAATTAAAAAAAAAGGATAACTGGATAACCCCCGAAAGTATAAATTATATAATATGATATATAATTATATATATAGTATACACCAATATACTATGTATGATCGAATGAATCTTTTGTTGTTAAAAATTATAAAGAAGTGGGAGTTTTTAGAAAGGCCATGGCAGATTCTGTCAGGAGTAGGAGATTTCTGTGCATCATTTTGATAATCATTCAGGCTATAGAAAAGTTACCTGCTGGCCTGGTTTGAGCGGTGATAGTGTTATTCCCTGGGTATTGATCACTGGGAGTATCTGGTTGCCGATGACCGTTGCGATGATCTGACCCTGGGCGTTGGTCAATAACTGTGGAGTTATTGGCTGTACCTGAAGTCCCTGAGCTCCACCTGCCGCCTGGCTGGAGGGGACTGGGTTAGGCATCAGTGGGATTGTTCCAATAATCTGGAGAAAAGGACATAGAAAGGGGAAATGCACACAAGCCGCATATACTTGCCACACATAATTATTTGTTTTATGCATGTTAAATCAAACTTAGGTGAAATAAGCATAGGGAGACAGATATGACAGGCTGAGGGTGCGAAACAATCATTCCTTTACTGAGGTGATGAGGACTTTTAAACTCATTTGTCACATCACACGTCACCTGTATGTTTTACTACTGTCCCCTGTCTCCCCAACAAATCTGCTGTGGCTGAGAGTATATGAAACAAGTGATGGGCCATGCTCTGGCCCCTGGATGATGCTTTGTTCCCACTTCTTATTTGAACAGAGTGAAATAGATGCAAATGGCAGTGCTGTTTGTCTTGCTTTCTACAACTCATCCATACAATGTTATTAACCGTGAACTGAGGTGCTTATGTAATTTTCCTTGTTTTACTGATACCTAGTACTCTAGATGACCATCTATTACTCCCAGGCGATCTCAGGGAGGAAAAAAGAGATGCTGGTGCCTTTCAGCACAGGGCTTATTAAGATACGTTCATAAAAATGCAGCTGCTTTTGGATGACAACTAAGTAGTACAACACAACGGGAGGGCTGCTGTTAGATAAAACATTTTAGCTAACATTTCTGGGCAAGTACTCGCAGAAGGAGACACTTGTGACATCTCAGATTTTGTAAAATGTGAACATGCCTGTAAAACTAATATTAGGATGAGATGTCAAACAGATACTGTAAGAAAGCTTGTCAATCAATAAGCTGCTACGTTGAAGAAAGTTACTCTGTTGGAAGACTCTTTTCACAAGTATTAGAGCATCTAAAACAAAATTCTGATTAAACTTGTAAATAAAACCAAACTTTTTTTTTTTGTTTTACTGCAAACAACAACAAACAAAGCTACAGTCATAGGATTGTTGCAACAGGAAAAGTAAAAGAAAAAAAAACAAACAAAACACATCTCTCTATCCTTCACCACATCTCCTCTGACTTTCTCTATCACAGCCCCCCCAAAAACGTTTATCCCATTGTAAGGCTTCCAGTCCTCCCTCTCCAGAAGCCTTGCTACCTCCTCTTTAACCTCAACATCCACCACACTGCATGTCCCTGTGGTCCCCCACCAGTATAATCCCTGTTGTCCTGTGTCCCTTATCACATACAGTCACTAGCGTAGAGGTACTTGGTTGCTGAGAAATAGGGTGGATTATGGTCAAGTTCTCTTTATTTTTCCTCCGTGGGAACAGTAACAGGGTAGCTTTCTTCAATCTGTCTGCTGATTCTCATTCCATTTAGGAGCTTAATCATCTGTTTAGATCTTTATTTCTGATAAATTTTGGTGAAATTGGTCAGCTGTTTCAAAGCCATTAGGTAGGTAGAGAGATGGATGGATGGAAAGAGGGACAGAAGGATAGACAACACTAGTCATAAAACTAGTCTTATGACTAGTTTCCTCAAGAAAACAGGCTAGAGTGTTTCTAATGAATCTTGCAGGCAAATTTGTCTCCAAACCAAACATATAAAATTCCTATGGATTTCAAAAATTAATTTATAGTATATTAATGAGAACTGGACAATACATGGGCTCTGAAATAACTGTTTAGTGAAAACATGAGTGGCGTTGTAGGCAGACCACTAAATTACTTTCTGAGAGCGCAGAACTAGAGGAACAACTCTGAATCTTTTGCTAAAGCTATAAAAAGGATGCATCTATGAACTGTGTTGTGAAGAATAGCAGGGATCTGTGAAGAACTCTGCATATTTAAATCACCAGAGGTGATACACAACAACTCCAGAAAATCCATCCTCAAGAAAGCATCATGCAATGATATCCAACTAACTCAGG